AAATAATCACGGTGACTTACCTTTTTTTATTGCAGAAAATACATTGTTATGAAGTTTTGAAAATCGTCAGTGTAGTTTTCGAGATACTGAATTTCAGCCTTTAAGATTGGAAAGGCTGAAATTCAGTATCTCGAAAACTACACTGGCGATATTAAAATAACATTCAAAAGATTCAAAACTTTATAACAATGCATTTTCTGCGATAAAAAAGGTAGGTCACCGTCGTTATTTGTCTGCTAAGACGGCTTTTTTGGTTGATATAGGAATATAGATGGTGACGTCAAAATGGTAACATGAAGAGTAGCGATTGTGGGTTAAAATTACTTTTTATATAAGAGGAAACAATGGCTTGTGCAAAAACTTAGTTTTTTTAGATTCAAATAGCTTTTAGTTTAAAACACTGATATATATATATATATATATATATATATATATATATATATATATATATATATATATATATATATATATATATATATATATATATATATATATATAGTATATATATATATATATATATATATATATATATATATATATATATATATATATATATATATATATAGTTTTTCGTTTTACCTCAAAAACCACAACAGTCTGTTTCATCCGTATAGGAATCATCAGGTGGTCCAGTTCACCACCTGATGATTCCTATACGGATGAAACAGACTGTTGTGGTTTTTGAGGTAAAACGAAAAACTATATTACGCTCTATCTATATGGTATTGAGCACTGTTTGTGTTTCGTAAACCAAAATCTTAAGCTATATATATATATATATATATATATATATATATATATATATATATATATATATATATATATATATATATATATATATATATATATATATATATATATATATATATATATATATTGGAAACTGTAGGGAGCCTCCTTAAGTGCTTTAATTATTCTATATTCCTACTTTCTTCTTCATTTCAAAGTCTTATTCTTGTATTTCAGTTTTTGTGCTTAAAAATGTGTCTTTTGGCCAGAAGTAGAAGCAATATCGAAGTGGCCAACGATGCTTTTTTTTGGTTATGGCGATGAAAGTGCTTGCCAAAAATCAACGCGTCCAAAACTCAGCGAAATATAATTAGCCATTTCCCAATCGAGCAGAGGACTGGGTCTAGTCGCTTGTTTGGAGCGACAAAAAATAAACAATATGCCGAATATGGCATCTAGGAAGTTTTCCTACATTCCTAAAGTCATTTGTGCAGCCTGAAATGCAACAATTATAATAAGACATCTTTTAATATATATTTTAGCTCGCTCACTATAACTTTTGTCCCTCCAAACGTCCCCGGCAAACATCAACTAGACCCAGTCCTCTGCTCGATTGGGAAATGGCTAATACAAACTTATCAATCAAAACAATATTTAGCTACAAAATTGAAGAATATATGCGGAACAAAATAAGATGATTTTTGTGTCATACTGTCAAAACAAGCAAAATTTGTCCGTCCTAAACACAACGTAAACGACGTCCCAGATTGAACCGGAAATAAAATCCCACGTGTCACGCAATTTCCACGTTCTCGTGACGTCACGCTACGTTTGCTAGAGCAGGCTAATATCAAAGGTTCCGACATTAAGTGAGACGTCTGGTATTATGATTTATTCCTTCCATTCCTTCCTCAATGTCTGCGGTAAAATAAAGCTTGTGCTTTCCGAAGACAACAAGTGGATCAGTGCCTTTTTATAAACCCATTAGAGCGCAAGGCTCTCTCCCCTTGATGAGTAAAACTGTTTGGCGTTAGACAGAGTAAAATACAAAAAAAGGGTGCATTGCTGCTTAATGGATTAGTTGGGAGGAATATCGTAAACTCGAAGAGGCCCAGTCTCAAAGGGAGAAAAAATCGTTGTGCCCCGCGCCTATGGAGCTCCAAAAAGGAATGCGCCCTGTCCCAGATTGCTTCGGCGCCGTATGAAAATAAATTTTGCACGGTCCGCCACTAAACTATCAATTGTCTGCTACTGTCGACTTGCTCTGATATTTTTTTCAACGATATAAGACAACTGATTTGTATGGGGGTGAATTTATGGGAGAGAAACGATTCATTGACAATGCAAAAAAAACCCAGCTTCTACAGTATGTATCGCGATTAATAAATAACACGAGAAATGGATTACCTGTATTCTGTAACGAGATTCGCAATGTTTTTACCAAAAGCCTTTAGGGCCGCTATGTACAACGATCGATTTCCTGCTGTGTTCCGACATTTTCTGATGTTTATGAATCAACATCCTCATTAGAGATAACGGGGTAAAAGTTTGGGGTGTTTGGGTTAATCGAGTTCAAGACAATCGAGTAAAAATATATAAAACTGTATTAGCAAAACCAAAGGAAATGGATTTCAGTTCGAGATAGCGTTAGAACTCTCGCTCGCGAGTGATCGACAAGTCTCATCGACCCTCGTGCACTCCCATCAAATTTGATCCGGTTCAAATTTTGATGAGAGTTAAGGCTGCATTCCAGTTACGCGTTTTTCATACACGCACGCAAGAGTTGAATTCGCTTAAAATTTCATATAAGTGCAAATAACCTTAACAAATACACATTAAATCATACACAAAACTGAATGCTGTCCTTTTATAAATTTAGTTTTTTCATAAGTAGGATGTAAAGCGAATTCAACTTTTACGTGCGTGTACGCACGTATGAAAAACGCGTAACTGCATGGAATGCAGCCTTTAATGAAGGTTTTCGCTACACGTGCGGTAATATCTAGTCAATTCTCATGTAACTCTTAGGGTGATTTCCATTAATACGGCCAGAACGGTCAAATTCTTGAATGGAACACAAAATATTTGGGCTTCGGACCTACCTGACCGGAAAATTTAGATAACATTAGAATGAGATCCATTTTCGCTAGATATTTAAGAAACATAGACCAGATCTTTCCATTGATACAGAGAAAAGAATTCGGGTCTGAGCGGTCAGGACATTAAATGGAAAGCGCCCTGGCTGTCATTTGACCGGGGCATGAGAGTTGAGAAAACTCTCATGCAAACTCTCGCTTCTCAACAACTCTCATACTCGTTTAACCAGGGCTTGTACTGTGTAAATCAAGCACACTACACACGCCTACGTCGTCATAGGTGCACGAGTTGTGTGCTTGATTTACACATTACAACTCAAGGTGTAAGCAGGTTGCATGCGACAGTTTTAGGCAAAAATTGTGTGGTATAAAACGCCGATTCCTTTATAACTTCCAGAGGGTATTTCTTCCCAGTCCTCCCTGACAACTTCCTTGTGGGAGAACTCGGACCATTATGGCGAAAATCGAACACATTATATATAATAGCTTTTCAACATTCAAATAGAGTGCCGGTAAATTCCAAAATAATTTGTGTCAATTTAAAGGCCGGTTTACTCTATCAAAGTTTTTGTGATCACATGCAGTTGGAATTTTGCATGGGTAAATTTGTAAGGATTTGTAAGAAATTTTTGAGAGAATTGGCTCACTGTTAAACACCGAGTCAGCTCCCTCAAACATTTCTTACAAATCCTTCAAAACTTAGAATTTACCTTTGTAAAATTCCTACTGTGATCACAGAGACTTTGATAGTGTAAACCATCCTTTATAACACTCAGTAAGTTTCCTCAAACATTTCTTACAAATCCTTCAAAACTTAGAATTTACCTTTGTAAAATTCCTACTGTGATCACAGAAACTTTGATAATGTAAACCAACTTTAAGTCTCAATATCAGTTTTGAAGATGATTGCAGATAATCTAGAAATCATTATTCATTCTTTTGAAAATATTAAATATACACTTACTTTAAAGGATCTCTAACCAGAATTCATTATTGAAGTCCAAATATTTCGATCCAAGAGCGATCCAAGATCGACCACGAGTGATAAAAAGCCGTTCCGGGACAGATTTATATAAAAGGCAAAAAAGTTTTGTTTGCGTGCTTTTCCCTACCGGATATAACACTCGGCATGAAATATAAACCCAGTCTTACGGAAGTACTATAAATACGAAAGAACAATATCATAGTAGGTTTGTAAATATTTTTAAACAAACTCATTAATAATTCAGGAGGAAAACACAAAGAAAAATCATAAGCGTGTCGTATCTTTATATGTGATAAAAAATCATGTTAATTTACATAAACTTTAGCTTTGATTTTCTCGCTTTAGAAAAAGTTTATTTTAAAAATTATTTCGCCAGTCGTTTTTTTAAGCCATTTAAAGCACTCGTGGCTGCGCCTCGCGTTTTATATCTGATAAAACACTCCTACGAGTGCCTTAAATAGTACATATTTTCGCCACTTAACTCTTTTTCTTACATCACAATAAGGGGCCATTCACAAAATACGTGACGCCCGTGGGGGTATGGGGTGTTTCATCAGGAGTCACATAGTGTCACAAAAGGGGGGAGGGGTATCACGTGACCGAGAGGCATATAGGGGGGGGGGATTTATCACTGTCTATAACAAAACAAGACCGTGCTTGCAAATATGTGTCCTTTACACACGTAAAAATCTCACATCTTGTAACAAGTCTGCCAACAAGCCTTCAACAAGATGTATTCGCACTGCTTGTTACATGTTGTCAACAGGTTTGGAACAACTTGTAACAACCTTGTCGAAATTATCAGACTTGTTGCAAGGTTGTTCTGACAAGTCCGTTACATGCTTGATATAACAAGATTGTTACAACCTTGTGTTGACAACCTTGTAACATCCTTGTTATATCATGGCTGTAACAAACTTGTTAGCACAGTCTTGTAACAAGGCTGATAATGCCATCAAGCTTGTTACAAGTTGTTAACAGCTTGTTTCAAACTTGTTACAACAAACTGGGAACAAGCAATGCGAAAACAACTTGTTGACAGCTTGTGAACAGACTTGTGAGAGCTTGTTTGCAGACTTGTTACAACTTGTGCGTTTTTACGTGTGCAGATGACAAATAGACAATTCCCATATTATAGACTAATTTTAAAATTAGGCAAGGAAACTCAAATAAATCACCACAGCTAGAAAGAGCATACTAAATTAGTAAAATAACAAAGTTTGGTTGCGAAATGTTGTAAAATGAGGAAAATGTAGCCTTGCAAAGTTCGCAAATTTTGTATACTTTTGTATTGCGTGCGGAAATTCCTACCACATTTAGGCCGAAAATGTCGCACGCAATACAAAAGTATACAAAATTTGCGAACTTTGCAAGGCTATATTTTCCACATTTCGCAACCAAATTTTGTCATTTTACTAATTTTAGTATGCTCTTTCTAGCTGTGGTGATTTATTTGCATCTCTTGCCTAGTTTTAAAATTAGTCTATAATGGGAATTGTCTATTAATCTATCAAAATACTCCTGCTGACATCGCCATGGAATATGGCACGTACTCTCGTTTGTTCAACGATTCAGCGAGAATCTCAGTGGGAAACTGTTTAGGTCGAAGGTTTAATAAGGCATTGAAATAGTGTCGATTTATAGATAACGTTTTGAATTTGTGGCTGCATATTAAATTTGGGTTTTGTGGGTACTTCATTTTCTTTTTTGGGGGGGCGGATGGGTGGTTGGCTCAGAGTCGCGTATTTTATGATGGGGTAGTTGTCACCACTGGCTGTCACACACTGTCACAAGGGGTCAGGGAGCGGCAAGAACAGCGTCACGTTTTTTGTGAATGGCCCCTAACAACTCATGCCAGTAAAGGATATGATATGACAAAATAGGATTTGTTGTCAACATTGTAACATCACGCAACTGATGTGATACAGATTTGTACATTTCGGATATAAACATATCTAATGACAAAAAAATATATTTAGAACAAAATCGGAGTCAAATGCATTTTGCTTGTCTAGGACTCTCGCCTGGGAGGCTGGGACTCTCATTTGCGAACAAAACACAGAAATAAAAAAAATAGGTACGCAGGCGTACATGTACCTGCGCATAATGCATTGACGGAATTACATTTTTACAGCATTTGTGCGAAATTGTGCTATTTAAAATTATATACCTGCTTCATGTAAAGAACATTTACACTAAATTTATAATCAGTGGCTTCTATATTAAGAGAATGGGTACCATTTATATCCCAAATGCAATAGTAGTCGAACAAATTTATTTATCTGGAGCTAACTATCTGCTATTCAAGCTGTAGGGGTTAGCGTAGCTGCTGCTGTAGGGGTTAGCGTAGACAAATAAAGTTTTTACTTACTTACTTACTTACTTAAAGCAGTTCATTACTTTTAAGAAGAACTTACAATTTAAACAAAACAATTACTTAAGGCACGTACCACTTTATGCTCTGAAAAATATGTTTCTAAAATGGGGGGTATCACTTGTGATTCCGGTATAAATTGGTATAAATATGATCTATGAATGTGTGATTGTCTGGACATGGAGTCATGAGCTAATAATAGTTTCTGACATTTAAAACAACAGGACTATCATGATTTTTTTGTCTTGGTGTAATGTACTCAGGTGAATATGATACTTGTGATGTTACTCTGAGTGTATATCCACACCGGGCAAGCTTGAAAAATATGCCTGACCACGGTGGGAATCGAACCTACGACCTTTGGAATACTAGCCCAATGCTCTGCCAACTGAGCTACGCGGTCTGGTCGGTTTGAGTATGTGATATTTCGGGCTAGTATTCCAAAGGTCGTAGGTTCGATTCCCACCGCGGTCAGGCATATTTTTCAAGCTTGCCCGGTGTGGATATACACTCAGTGTAACATCGCAAGCAACAGGACTATGTTTAGACTATACTTTCTATTTACGGTTTAGCCAGGTTTCAGAGGCCTTCATCATAGTCAAATCCGGTGTTCCGTTGCCAGCAACATTGCAATATTGTCACGCAATATTGATCGGCTGATTGCTCCAGCAAATTGCAACCGACGCGAACAAATTGAAATTTTACGTGCTGACAATTTGTCGAGAGGTCGCGCCCAAACGTCAATGCCAAGCATTTGATTGGCTTGTTTTGTACTAGTAGCCAATCAGGCTTTACTTACAAACTTGCTTCATATTATGAACTTCATATTATGAATCTCTGATTATGAATCATATTATGAACTTTTGAATTTTGCAGTTGACGGTTTAATACTGTTACTGTATGTAAAAAATGCAATTTGTTCGCGTCCGTTGCAATTTGCTATGTTTTGCTAATTGTTAGCTTTTTGTCCAAGAGCAATCAGCCAATCAATATTGCGTGACAATATTGCCCACAACAGTCAAGATATATACGCAAATATAATTAGCGTGTTTCTTCGAAATTTATGACTGTTTCGTGAAGATTCAACCATAAAACAATTGCCGGAAACGGAATCCCTGATTACAGAAACTCGTACGTACCTATGAAATGCGTGACTTGTGCGTAAACATGTCAATCAAATAGACAAATTTAGATCCAGGACACAGAATAGGGTACACAGAAGGCCGACTTCTTGGTTTTTCCTATCATTTTCCCATGATTTTGGCATAACCCGTAATTCGTCATCAAATGCTGACGCCATGGTCGCAGCCAGTGGGCGTTTGAGAGGCATTCACCCCCCTGATATTATTCAAAATGGTGGACGTCCAGGTGGGGAATGCCTCTCAAACGCGCACTGGCTAGGACCATGGCGTCAGCATTTTGCTGAATCATGGCGTGGCAGCGGTTACTCGAGTCGACCTTCTGTGTGCCTTATTCTGTGACGTGGACGTCAAAGACGACGTGAAAAATGGCGTGTTGTGCCCATGTATGGATATTCCACGCCATTTTCACGTCGTCTTTGACGTCCGCGTCCTCGATCTAAATCTGTCTATTATCTATGAATATGGCGTTTTATATTTGTACAGTAAATCGTGCACGTGTTTGTTGTGGAACTTGCGTTGCTCCAAATCGAAGAGGACATAAAATCATGAGCATATTGTCACATGTTAATTTTGTATTTTTAATACCCTTGGAAGCATCAAGGTTTTGGTACCCCCTCCCCGCTGGAAATCTTGACAAAACTGCCCCCCTTGTTCTCTGGAATTTTCAGTCTGGTCCAGGGGGATATGGATATTTTCTGCAAGTACCTTTTAACTTCCGGTAATTGTTTTTCCATTGAAAGTTGAAAAATACATGTTTCTAAGGGTCAATGTCAATGTCACTATGTGAAGTCTAGTGGTCAAATGTATAAACTGTCATATTCGTG